GGGCCGCCGAGTCCCGCGACACAGAGCGCGCGCCCATCAGCATGGTGCACGACCAGACAAACCTGACCGTCAGCCAGATTCATGCCCAGCGCACAGAGCAGGAGCTACAGCGACGGCTCTTGCAGGCAAGAAAGCTCAGTCTCGTGGTGGATCTCGATCAGACTATCATCCACGCTTGCATAGATCCCACTGTGGGCGAGTGGCAGAGAGATCCGGCCAACCCGAACCACGACTCGGTCAAGGATGTCAAGGCTTTCCAGCTGGAAGACGGCCCGCGCGGCTTGGCCCGGGGCTGCTGGTACTATATCAAGATGCGCCCCGGCTTAGAGGGCTTTCTTAAGCGCATCGCCACCATGTACGAACTGCACGTTTATACGATGGGCACGCGCGCCTACGCCCAAAACGTCGCGCGCATCGTCGATCCCAACCAGAAGCTCTTTGGCAATCGCGTCATCAGCCGCGACGAAAACGGCAATATGGTTGCCAAGAGTCTAGGGCGCCTCTTCCCCGTCAACACGAACATGGTCCTCATCATTGATGACCGCGCCGATGTATGGCCACGTAACCGGGGGAACCTCATCAAGGTCTCGCCATACGATTTCTTCAAGGGTATCGGAGATATCAACTCCAGCTTCTTACCCCGACGTCAAGATTTACTTGCTGCCGACCCCGTGCAGGCTGCGGACCCCAGCAGCCCGGCTATCGGGGAGTCAAAACCAGTCGTGGAAAAGGTGGACGACGCGGTTCCGGAAGCTGGAAACGTCTCGGCGCTGGAGGAGCTCATCAGCATGAGCGGCGGTGAAGACTCCGCCATTACAAAACGACAAGTTGAGGAGCAGGAACGCACCCTTGAGAAGCAAATAAAGGACCGCCCGCTACAACTTCTACAAGAAAAACTAGATAAAGAGGACGAGGAAGCCGAGAAGACGTCAACACCGTCGGAAGACGGCGAGGAGACGCCATCATCACCCACGCCGCATCATCGCCACCAGGTACTGCTTGACCATGATTGCGAGTTGGAGTTCCTCGAACAGCACCTCACTTTATTACACAAAACATATTACGAAGAGTATGACCGGAACTGTGATCGCACCAAAGATGTAGATCTGTCGGCGGTGCCAGACGTTGGCAGCGTCATGGAAAAGATGAAATCCAGGGCGCTACGGGGTTGCAAGGTCGTCCTCTCGGGACTTTTACCCATTGGTGTCGAGGTGGAGCGCTCAGAAATCGGCATGCAGATGGTGAGCTTCGGCGCGCAGCTCCGGTCTAATATCTCGAGAGACGTAACGCATTTAGTCGTCAACAGCTTCCGGCCACGCACCAAGAAAATGCGACAGGCAGCCCGGATTCCCAACATTAAGGTTGTGAACCAGGATTGGCTGGCCGAGTGTTTCTCGCGGTGGATGAAGGTGGATGAAAGACCTTACAAGTTTAATATTCACTCTGACGACCAGCTGGGTGGCAAGGCATCGGCTGCACTGGGCGAGATGGAGACCGACCCTGATGTAGTGAGCGATACTGACGACCCTGATGAGAACGGGACGGGCATATCAGATAAGAAACTGATTCGCACAAACGGGCTCAGATTAAAGCTCGTCAGCGCCACGGGGGAGACGCACACTCTCAACGAGGACGGTGATGAGAATGAGTCTGATAACGAAGACGGCGCCCTCGAGGAAGAGGAGGGCCTTGTGCCCGACGAGCTTGCTGACGGCCAGTTGTCTCCGATTGACACGCTAAAGACCTTTAATTGGGGCTCGGCGGACGAGGAGCTCAACGAGTTTCTGGCTAGCGGGTCTGACGATGACGACGACGATGAGGACGAGGAGGATGAAGACGTCGACGAAGACGACAAGGAGATTACCGAGTATCCGGAGGATGAGGATATGCTGGACAGGCCCAGTGACGACTCCGTAACGCAATCATCGAAAAAGCGAAAGGCTTCAGATGAGGATGACGAGGCCGATCTGGACGAGAACTCTATTTTGGCTAAGAGGCTACGGAGGACAAGAAGCCGCGGCGTTTCGTCGCTGCGCAACCAATATGTAGCGGACGATGCCATTGATAGCAGTTTGCCTACGCCCCAGGTCACAGGGGACGAGGACGACGTTGCGTCACAGCTCAAGAGCTTTGCTACTATAACTACTACTGCAAGCCAGCAGCAACAAGATGGTGGCGCCGCGGACAATTTCGACGACGAGTTCGACGATATTGACGAGGCGGAGCTTGAGGCGGACTTTATGGCTGAGTTTGAAGCGGCCGATCTCGCACCGCCGGCACCCGCGCCTGCACCTGCAGCTGCTGATGCGTCTTCAGGGGCGGATGGGGGCGATGTTGGTAATAGAGAGAAGGGCTAGGTTCCCATTGTTGCCAGGATGCTGCAGGGAGATATGTTGCGTTCAGGGGGCCAGTGGTAGCTGGCTATCTATTCTTTTACTTATTCATTTGGCTTCTTTGTTAGCGGCAATTGCATGCATGGTATATTGCGGTGCGGTGCGGCTTTTGAACCGTCTGTGTATAGCATGAGTGTCTGGGATGGAGGATGGTTTGGGCTGTTGGCGAGCTTTTGTGATCTTTCGATGGGCGAGGCGGAGAGTGCTTCTTGGTGGGGGTTTTGGGGTTAGTATCTATAACTGGACAGTAGAATTCATTGCATAAATTCTTTTCTCGGTTTTGCAGCTGATTCACCATGACTTTTCGTGATTTATTCTTGAAATTATCAGATGGTGATACTCTGTATCGCCATTGAGTATCAATGCACCTGCTATTGACCGCTTATCTAATCGCGGCAAATCCCGTTCCTCCCTGACCAGCCAGCCAGCGGGACCCCTGGCCACCTGCCCGCCAAGAGCTGACTGAGCTAGTTGTAGCTTTGGTGGTCAACCTCGATCAGTTCGAGCTTCAAGCGGTACAAGCGTCGCATCATCAATCCGCCCGTCGCCAGTCGTCGTCTTTGCCGCCCAATTGAACCACCCACCTCTCATTCTCCCACTTCTCGCCAAAACAAGACTCGTGGCGGACGCGAGCGAGTTCAATTCCTTATTTTCTCCTACCTACCAACCCGAGGCTCCTAGCGAGCAACGCACGCGCCCCGCGACGACCATCAACTGATTCGATTTCGATTGTCCGACGCATCCCGAGCGACGGTCCGACCCTTGAGGATATATACAAAAGAGGAACAAGGAAGGAAGAAAGAGAAAAGAAAATCGCCCAAAATGCCTCAGGATATGCCCCCCGTTGGCGGCTATGATGCTGTGCAGTACAAGGTGGGTTGTTTTCGTTATGTTGGATTGCGCGCATGAGCAGCCAGTTGGCTGGCTTTCGTTCTTTGGTTGCGGCTGTTTGTGTTGTTTTGAAGGGTGAGGGAGGGTTGGAATTGGATGGGAATGGAGTGGGTTATACACTGCGTGCCTGCTTGCTGCTTGTCAATCGCAACCGACCAGAGAGAGGAGGGTATTATTCCCTCGCGATCGGTTGAGAGGTGTGGGCGTGAGCTTGGTGAGAGGGAAAAGGAGGAGATCGATCGGTGGTGGTGGGCTGAGCGGAGGGGCAGGCAGGTTATAGGGGACAAAAGGGGGTTGTTGCTAGACGGAGAAGTATGCTCATGTTAAGGCCTTCTTCGGGGCCTGTAGCCTGGCAGCTTGTTGAACTTGAGAGGTTGTCGTTCTCTCTTGTCGCATGGCTGGTTGATGAGGACTATCTGCCTTTTTCTTTTTCAATGGTTTGGGGGAGACGGATCACTGCTTCATGGTTGCGCCCACGGATTGTCTACCCGCCGGCTAGGAGAGAGAGTGTTTAGCCCAGCCTGCAACTTCACGAGAAAAGGCAGGCGGGCGAATCACGAGCGATCACCAGACCGGTAGATGGCTGGATCTTGTCGTGGCAAAGTTGCTACAGCAGGAAGGCTCGATATACGCTGTGTCCCTCGCCTCTCACCCCCTCCTTGCTCTTCAAGAACTACGGTCGAGGATGACCCACTGGCTAGCTCGCGCATCGTGTTGTCTTTCAGCTACAAGCAACGGCGCAGAGTGCTAACATACATCCTCCCAGCGCAACCTCCCCGCCCGCGGTCCCCGCCCGGCAATGCTCCTCGCTGGCGTCGGCGCCGTCATGGTCTACGGCTGGTACAAGCTGATCATCGGCATTCGGGAGCAAAAGTATGTTGTTCTATCCCCAACACATCTATCTGCCATTATAAAGAGAGCGCACTTGCTGACAAAAGACACAACGACAACAGTGAGTACGGCCGCGAGAAGATGTGGAGTCGCATCCACCTGATCCCAGCCCTGCAAGCCGAGGAGGACCGCGATCTCGTCCGCAAGCACCTCGCCGACCAAGCGCGCGAGAAGGAGCTGCTAGGCGAGAACCTCCGCGTTTATAACTCGGATAGGTACGTGTTGCACCTTCAGAAACTGATGCTGGTCGTGAGGGCTGTACTGACTGGAGTGTTGTAGATACGTCCGCCCTACCTTTGCTGTCACCCCCGGGCACACAACAAAGGATTAGATTGGACTTTGTTGAGGTGGAGGAGCTGCTACTGCTACCGCTCACCGACTATGGTTGGGGGCGGAGGTTGCTGAGGCTGAAAAGGGTCATGATGGGCTTGGACGGGAGATGCGCGGGCTTTTTATTAGACACGTCCGCATTGTACATACTTGTTTCGTTCTAGGTCGATCATGCGAGATGGTTTGAACTGCCTTGGATGTGACTGCTTTTGTGACTGTCAGTGTGAATGTGCCAATGTGGTAGGGGCGGAGAGCTGAAAAGAAAACGGCTGAAGTTTGTTGGTTTTATCATTGTAATAATGCCTTTGCCGTGGTTCGAATCGTACTACGAAGTACCATAAATCAGAACATTGACGTAAGAAACATAACCTTCTGGTCTTTCACCCAAGGCACAAAATTCGAATGATCAATAAGGAGTTTCTTGTAAAAGGAACTACTCGGCTTGGTGCCCAGTATTTGAGACTGTGGATTGCAAAGCATTGACATCAACAAATCGGTCCAATGGTCTAGTGGTATGATTCGTGCTTCGGGGTCTCCCAATCAGTTGCTCAAACAACTAATCAGCATGTGCGAGGTCTCGGGTTCAAACCCCGATTGGACCCTTTTATTTTTGACTTTTTTTCTTATGACTCATTTTTGTTGTGGAGTTGCAGAGCGTTGGATCTTAGCTCCTGGGTAAATGGACGTTGTCATGAGGTTGGTTGGTTCGTTGGATAATCGTATTTTCGTGGTATGAAGATGACGATAGGTAATATTTTGGTATTGTTTTATGAAATGTGAATTACGAGGAAAATTCAATGTCGATTTTGTCCTTTCAGTACAAAACCTGGTATATAGAGCCTAGGCATAAAGATATCAGTACCTGCCGGCAACCATGAATATTGATATTGCAAAACGGTCGTCAACATCTGCCAGGACGGCAGAAAGCAATGAGACTTTTAGAAAGTGCCACGATTACACGGTACACTCTACCACATCAACAACAACCGTCACCAATTCAGCCAAATGAACAAAGTGGTATATGCAATCAATTCCATTCCGTTCAATTCCATCCATGCATACGCCCAACCATCCCGCCATCATCAACGAACAAAACATAATGCCAGCTCCAGCCCAAGATAACATCAAAGTTCAGGTTACACACGTAGGTACATACCATGCGCCAGACGCCACCGCCCCCAGACTCAAGAGACCGACCAAACATTCATCTCAAACCAAGTTTGACAACAAAAACTCAAGCAGCAGTAGCAGGGATCTGCACCATCCTAAACCCCTCCGACACCAGCTTCGTGATGTCCTCATTCTTATGCTGCAACAGCCCCAGCGCAAATGCGACATCGCTCCACTGGCGCTCGGTATCGCAGCGTGCCAGACGCGCCGCCAGCTTCTCGGCCAGCTGCTTGGCATGTTTGTCCTATTATTTTCCCTCAGGTTAGCACACATCTTTTCTCCCACACATAACAACTCCAAATTAGAGTCAAATATACCTTCTCTACAAACCCCAACAAAAACCTCACAATCCGCCTAAAGCTCTCCTCATCCAGCTCCCTCTCCGCCGACAATAGACTAAACATATCCACAAAGTGGTTATACACCGCATTGTCCTTGGTGCTCAGCTCAGTAAAGAACATGCGCGCCAAGTCCGCGATCCGCTTGTCCTCGTCCTCTAGACACTTTGCCATCTCGCCCAGCTGGCCCTTGACCTTGACCTGGCCCGCCAGGATCAGAAACGTCAGCGTCATCAGACACGTGCGCTTGACCGACGGGTCCGGGTCCGCGAGCCGGCGATACAGGAAATCCGTGTTCTCGTCGATTAGATGGTTGAAGCAGACGGCCATGTCGCCGAGCGCGATGACGGCGTTGCTGCGCACCGTCGCGTCGGTCGAGCGCTCCATGATGGTGATGAGCAGGGGCAGGTTGGCCTCGCAGTACTCGGACGAGACGCACATGAGCTTGGCGAGGCAGAGCGTCGCGGCTTGTTGGAGTCCGCGGTCCTTGTACGTGGTGTTGTTGGCGCAGACCTCGCTGACCATGGGGCCGAACATGGCGAGGAGCGAGGTTGGGCCGTAGAGGAGTTCGCGCTCGCGGATGTGCGCCATGGCTTCGGTGAAGTCGTCTTCGGTCGTGCCGCCGATCAGGTCGAGCTCGTCGGCTTCTTCGTCTTCTTTTAAGGGCTTGGCTTGTGCGGAGGACTTGCGGCTTCTTGTGGTGCCGACGGAGAGGGTGCTTGCGGAGAGACTCGAGCGCTCCTTAGACGCCTGAGCTGTCTTCTCCTTTTCTTGCTTGCGGCGCTTGAAGTCAAGCTCGCATAGCTCGAGATGCACGATTTGCTTGATGGCGACGTGGCCGACGATGAAGAGGAGCTGGGAAAGGGTAATGGCGTTGTCTTTCTTTTGCTTCTTGGTTGGACTTGATGGAGGCTGCTGTGACTGCGACGGGCTAAGGACAGTCGCATCGGCTTCTTCTTCAGCTTCATTTTCAACACCCGAGGTGGGAGTAAACCGTGTCTCGTCCCGGGAGGTGGGACGAGAGTTCTGCGAGGAGAAAACAGCCCTGGCCTTGCGACGTATGATCTCAGAGCAGAGAACGTCTGGGTGTCTGGAGATGGTGTAAATGGCATTGATGGCCTGCTCGGCAACACCGTACCATTCCTTGCTCTCCGAAGGCACCTCGGTGATGGCTGCGAGCCTAGACAGCACAGCGTGGTCGTTTTGTAGCCTTGAGAACTTGATGGTCGACTCCTTCGCCTGGCGGCCAGTAGGGTTGATGCGCCGGAGAGCAACGCAGGTGTACTTGGCGAGCTGCAAATCGGCCCTGCCATGAGGTCCGAGTCCAGTGCGCAGCATCGTCTCCATCTCTCCAACCACGATCTCTGGGCTAGCAGTGGCCAGCATGCCGAGGACAATAATGGCGCCCCGTCTTTGAGTGCGAGAGATCTCGCGCTTCTGCACACCATATACTTGCCAAAGCTTCGCAATGACAACGTCAGGGATCATGCCTTGCTTCATCATGGTGCTCAACAGCTGCTCAAGCGATGTCAGCTCAGCTGGGGTGGCGCCGAAGGTCAGACTGATCATATTCCTGGCAATGTAGTTGGCCGCATCGTTTTGAGTAAAGTTGTCGGGAGCCTCGAAAAACAAGCGCTTGTAGCAGTCAATCAGGTGAGTCTGCACGCCCTTGCCCTCATCGCTGTTGCCCTTGGTCCAGATGAGCCTGAGCATGCGACGGATGCCGACCTTGTTCTGCTCAATGTTGTAGGCATCGCCGATCTCAAAGTAGTCCATGGCCTCAATCACCTCGCTCTTGTTCTTGGAGCCGAGCAGTTGGCAGACCGTAGCAGTTGCCTCGTGCAAGACGTCGATAAACTTGAGTGCTTCGCTGTAGTAGCGCTTTGTAAGCGTAAGCTTGTCGATGGCCTCAGAAGTGGCTGCCTCCTCTTGAGCCTTCCGGAAGGCTGCAATCTTCTCTTCGTCTGTCATCTCAGCAGACTGCTTCTTAGGCGATTCGATCTGAGTAACATCGTCGAGCAGGGCTGTGTCCACAGTTGCACTTGTCTTGTCCCCGTCAAGTCCGGGAGCGTCAACTGGAGGCTTGAGAGCTTGGAGCTCAGATTCGACCTTGTCGAGACGGGCCTGCCAGTCCTTCCTTGCCAACTGAGCGCCATGCAGCGCGGTGAAGGGATGAGTCCGAATTAAGGTGCCAAGCAACTTGATGGCGTTTCTTCTTACGTGGCTGCTCTTGTCTTCCAGACTGCGGCACGCAAGTTCAGCTGCCCTTTGCCTACGCTTTGGGAACTTTTGCTCCAGTTCGCATAGCTTGACGTATACCTGCAGAGTTCTGCACCGGCAGTAGGGGTTGACGTCGAGGAAGCGTTCTTCGAGCACGTCGAAGAATGCATTCATCTGTGTTTTGTGATTCTCACCCCTCTCGTCTGATTTGGTGAGGTGGGCAAGCATGTTGCCGAACACTTCGATTAGGGACGACCGAAGAGCGTGTGACTGTATGTGTTAGCACAGAAATAGCAACCTCATATAGCATAACTCACCTCGCTGTCTAACTGCTTGGCAAGCAGAGTGACTTGCTTAATGACAAGTCTGGGAGCCAGCTCCGAGAGCTTCACCATGAAGGTCGAGACTGATTTCGGCCCCTTTGTGTCATTGCTGTTGAACTCCTTGTTGCTGAGTTCGCGGAGGATCTCATCCGCCAGCTGAGGGTAGTCGTACTGTTCGGCCAGAATGTGGAGAAACTCGGCCATCGGTTCCGACAAGTGCTCGAAATAGGTCAAGTTCTGGACGATAGATATTTGCGCAGCTGGATTTGGTTAGAGGCAGCATTTTGGGGTAAGCAGCAGCAGACTTACCGTATCCATGGCCATGGTGCTTGACGGCAATGCACAGCACCTTGAAGGCGTGCATGCGAATGCTGGTGTTCTTGACGCGCTGCTCGCTCTCGAGAATCATATAGACTGGTCGCGTCAGTAGGCCAATAAAGGTATCGCGCTCCGAGGTGGTTAGGAAGATCTTGCCCAGCTTCAGGCGGAGGACTTTGCACATGGTGTTGAGCGCCGTTTCCAGCTGCGCAGACGAGTCCCAGCTGCCATCCTTGTTGGCGGCGGCATCTTTCTTGCTCTTGGGCTTTCCGCGGCCGCGCGACGCCACCGTGGTTGACGACTTCTCGGCGGCCTTGGTCTCGACGGCGGCAATGGTCCACTGCAGCAGGAAGCCGTAGATCTCCAGCAGCTGCTTGTGGTGGGCTATGAGCTCCTGCTCGTCGGCCTCCAGGTCGTGGTGGATGGCGTCGGCCTCGGTGGCGAGACCTGATGTGATCAGGTCGAAGACCTTGCTCAGGGCATGCGCCGAGAGGAAGGATGTGTACCTGGATTGTTGGAACAGTTCAGAAATGTGTTTGCGCGAAGGGTTGTGGGCTGAGGAGGGAGAACCAGGAGGGCGTGGACGGCGGACAGAAGTCGGTGTCAATGCGCCCAGCGATAAAGAATGTCTTAAAGAACGGGAGGGGGAAGCAAGAGAAATGGGTGCACACTTTAGAAGGAACTGCAGGGAGTCGAAGACGTTACTGCGCGTGATGGCGTCGGGGCTCTCGGCAATGGCGTCGACTATGGGGTTGAGGATGGCGTTGATGACGCCGTTGTCCGCGAGGGACTCGGGGTCGGCTTCGCAGTCGACCAGCGCTCCGTCGGCCTCGGGCGTCGGGATGCTGGCCGGGTCGCTCATGTAGTGCTTGAGCGCATCGTTGATGTCGAATGTGATGTTGTCCATGGTGGGCGGCGGGCGGGCTGCAGACAGCAGACAGCAGACAGCAGACAGCAGACAGCAGACAGCAGACGGCAGACAGCTATCTGCGGTTTGCGATCGCGGGTGCGCAGGGGAGGAGGGGAGGGGAAAGGCGTGGTAAAAAAAGAAAATAGAAACAAGAAAGACCAGATGAAATCTCCCCTTTAGTGTTTCAATCGCAACCTGTCGAGTGGAATGGAATGCAGAAGCAAAAGTCGGTGGCCGCCTGCAGGCGCTATATTGTCTTGTCGTGGGACCAATGCAAGGCGAGTTTGCGACAGACAGACACTGTTTTGATGTTTCTGCAATTG